TTTTGCCTGTTTGATCTAAATTATCTCTGGAAGTATTTATCTGATCAAGGAATGATATATATCATTCGAATTGTCTAATTTTTGCTGATTTTTGGTGAAAAAATGGTATTAATGTCATATGCACTTTAATGTCAGTCCCATCCCACAAAGCTACTTGGTGATGACGGAATAGGTATAAAGATCCTTAAGATTGCCGCACCTACAATAGTACCCTCTCTCACAAGAGTACTAAATTTGTGCCTGACCAAGAAACACTTCCCGAGAGCATGGAAAATAGCGAAAGTTTCACCAATTTTTAAAGGAAATGGAAGCAGAAACGATAAAGAATGCTTTCGCCCAATATCAGTACTCCCAATTCTTTCGAAGCTGTTGGAAAAACTGATCTGTCGTTCAATGAACAAATTTCTTCGTGAAAATAACATCCTACATAAATTCCAGTCTGGTTTCAGGAAAACATTCTCTACCGAAACAGCGTTAGTAAGACTCATAGACCAACTTTTATTTGACCTTGACAAAAACAATGTCTCCGGAATTGTTTTTGTGGATTATAAGAAAGCGTTTGATCTAATTGACCATCAACTGTTATTACAAAAACTCGAAGTACTCGGTATTGGTGATGATTACCTTCCTCTATTTACTAGTTTTCTGAGCGATCGAAAACAGTATGTAAACGTTAATGGATGCCATTCTACGACTGAAAATGTAAATTTCGGTGTTCCGCAAGGAAGTATATTGGGACCTGTGCTGTTTCTGATATTTATTAATGACTTGCCGACTGCTCTGAAGAATTCTACAGCTGATATATATGCGGATGATACTACAATTAGTTACTCTGATCATTATAATATTTCACCTCAAGCTATTAGTAATGGCATCCAGATGGATATGAATGAACTACAAAATTGGTCGAATAAAAATCGAATGACACTAAACAAAAGAAAGACGAAATCTATGCTCATTACAGGAAAACGGCTAGATAAAAAGCTGGAAAGTTTGGATTTGCAAATTGAATTAAACAACACTACTATTGAACAAGTTGATGTTTTTAGTTTGCTGGGACTAAAGATAGATATGAGATTGACATTTGAATCGCAGCGAATTGGCGTCCTACGAAAGATCAATGTTTTTCTTCTCCTCGAGCAGAGAATTCTCTACTACAACTCTATGATTAAACAACTGATGATGTATGGCTCAACTGTGTGGTCTGCGTGCTCTCGTGAGAATTTAGAAAGGGTTTTGCTAGGGTCATATTAGATGCTGACATGCGAGCGAACAGTGCCGAACTCTTCAAAAAACTAAATTGGTTGCCTTTCTTCTGTGAAGTCAAAATTCAGATGTGTTTTGGTTCATAAACGTCTTTATGGCGAATGCCCAGCTTATACTAAAGAAACATTGAGGGTAAACTCAGATGTCCATAACCGATCAAGTCGTTTTTCTAATGCAAGCCAATCATCTTGGTCTTCGTCAAAAATCTTGATTTATTTTCTAGACCACTTTCTACTAACCATGGTCTATTCACGAAGATTTACTATTTCTATTATCCAGTCGCTGGGACTCTCGGATCTTCACCGATCTTTTTCAACTTCTAAATTCAAAATCCTATTTAACATCTTCTATTTCACTCCTAAGGATACTTAAGGGGCCGTAACTTTTTGGTTCGAATACAGAGTTTGAAGTATCTTTTTTATCTTGTGTGCTCACTCCAATGTTAATATTATTTGATACAGAGAAATTTATATCACCAGCCTTTCCATTTCTACTAGAACTCTTACGACAACCACAAATCTTACCTAAGCAGGAGAAGCATGACCTCCACCTTGACATCTTATCTTATGATAAACCACATGTTAACTACCTGACCCTGAATATCGGAGTGACCAGCAAAAGGACATGTCCATACTGGAACCTGTTGGCATTGAGTGTTCAGGTTTAACTATAATACACCAGGCCAGCGTATTATCTACCAGCTCAGCCTGGGCTCCTAAATAGAACATACTATTACCCTTAAAAACGTAGCAAGCTGTACTTCCACCGGTAGTTGTGTAAGTTCCATTAAACCAAGTGTGTAACAGTCTTCTTAAGTCAACCGTGGCAAGAGTGATTTCCTTTTTAACCTGTGTAAATTTTCCGTTAGATTGTTTTTCCCATACAGTAGCCCACAGGATCAAAGCTAGGGGTATATTTAGAACAGTTGAAAAACGTGGGTAGTCTGTTTTTATAGTTATTGATTCAAGGTTTAGGTCTGCCATATTATTAATAGGATCTGTTCTCCATGAAGATGGAATCTGATCGTGACAGTAAGCGTAGTACCTTGTTGCTGCAACTGAAACACCACGATAACCCCAAATCCATTCTGCATGTATATGTCGCCGTATTCTTACATATCTTAAGTCAGCCGTTGCTTGAGTAAGGCCAGTTGAAGGTTTTAAAAAATTCTTTTCTACCCACTGTTTGTTAACAGCATCCTTATCATTTACAGGATCCTTTAGATCAAGGATTCCACTTGAATCTCCCATATCCAAATCACCTTTTACCAGTCCACCTCTACTACTCATGAACTCATCTATTGCCCATCTCCTATTAACAGCTGAACCGAAGGTAGTAGGATTTCCAACTCTGGTCAACTCGTAACCGTTAACATCTAAGTTACTAGCTAAAGTGCCACCATCACGCTTAAGAAACTGTGAGCACCATGAAGTCATAGAACCATAAGAAACAGCACTAGAATCACCAGACGAGCCGCTATTCAGTCCTGTAATAGTATTACCAGCCATGTCAATATTACCACTCATAGTAAAGCCGCTACTACTTACAGAACTCCCACTGACATGATCCGCGACCCATTTCTTAGACACGGCAGAATCATCAGTTGTAGGAGCACCTAACTTTA